TAGGATACTTGAGTGTTTTGTAGCAACAGAGCTCAACACTAAGAACTGACACATCGGTCAAGTGTCAACAGATGCAAGCAATATCAGATCTGGGGCTGTATACCTCCTGCACAATGGGATAGAAAAGCATCTCATTCTGAGCAGGAAGAGATTCTGTGTGGGTTAGCCCTCTTGGACACCAGAAAACGGTCTTTCCCCTTCAGTTTTATTAATGGAACCAGGCAGTTTGAATATTTGGGATCTGGTTTCTTCAACTGAATTCTGTGTTTGTGAGAGTCAGACATGATGTTATGTAACAAGCAGCTTGACAACTGCCTTTCTATATGAACAGATCACGGATTTTTAGCCTTTCTTTGAAGAGATTTGGGTTGCTTTTAGTTCTTGGCTGTTGAATAAGGAGGCTGGATGTGTGTTCTGGTGAACAAACACACAGACATTCCTGCTGAGTGTATACTACGATGATACTGTTGGGCCAAAGGGTGTAAAGATGTTCATATTTAGGAGATGATGTCAAATGGTTTTCTAAAGAGACCCATCAAATACACCCAAGCAGCTACGAAGGAGAAGGCATCTCTGTGCACCACATCCTCGCCAGCGCTTGGTACCACTGGTCTGTTGAAAGGTTTAGGCCCTTTCGTGGGACTGTGTCGTCATCTTACTACTTTGGCTCCTGCTTCCCTGATGACGGATGAAACTGCACCTCTCAGAGTGTTCGGGCTTCTGGCACATCCCTGTCTCTCAGCTCTTGACTGTGGATGTGACACTTTGAGTTTCTGCTTTGACTTCCACACTGGTCTGCTTTGACTCCCCCCACCAGGTGAGGGACTGTAAGCCCCACCCACTCCCTGTTGCTATTGGTCAGGGTAAATGTCATCACAGCAACACAAACAAAACTAGGACAGAGACAAAGAAAGAGATATACTGTGATTACAAGAATGGAAGAGTACAGGCTCCCCCAAGCCCCCAGCAAAACCACCTCAGAATATACGTTAAGATGGGAAGATTGCTGGTAGACAGAGCACTGACTGTATTTGGGGGTCTAAATATATTCATCTAAACACTAATATAGCAACTTGACAAAAATTTAGAGATGTGTCTGACATGGTGGTGCACGCTTTGAATCCCACTAGAAGACAGAGGCAGGTGGATCTCTGAGTTTGAGGACAGCCTGGTCTACAGAGTTCCAGGACAGCCAGGGCTACACAGAGAAACCCTGTCTCAAAAGAAAAGAAAAGAAAAGAAAAGAAAAGAAAAGAAAAGAAAAGAAAAGAAAAGAATAGAATAGAATAGAATAGAAAGAAAGAAAGAAAAATTAAGAGGTACATTTGAATATCAGAAATTAATAAATTCAATATACTATAGACTCATTAGGTCATTAAACACACAAAATAAAGAACACCAACTCTTCTGTGCCATTGGGAACATTTACAAAGGCTGAGAGTGGGGCGGCTCACAGAAGAAGACACATCAGTCTCACTGGCCCCTGGGCAGATGTGCTTCCACCCATGATGCCACAGCTGGAATAACAGTCAACACTGGGACAGTTCGGAAAAAAAATCACATACATCTGCAGATGAAAACCCCTTTTTTGTATTGGCTCTGGACCAAAGTGGCAATTCTAAGCCAAAATAAACACTAAGAATGCAGTCAGTGACAAAGCCATGGTTAACACTTGAGGCAGAGGTGGGAGTTGTTCCGCCATTCAACAGCAGAGGACCCCACATCAGGTGGGTCACAACCATCTTAACTCCAGCGCCAGGGATTGACACCCCCTTCTGGCCTCCCAGGGTACTGCACTCATGTGCACAAACCCACACTTATATATACTTTTTTATTTTCTTAAAACAAGTGAAAGACCTGTATGACAAGAACTTCAAGTCTCTGAAGAAAGAAATTGAAGAAGATCTCAGAAGATGGAAAGATCTCCCATGCTCATGGATTGGCAGGATTAATATAATAAAAATGGCCATCTTGCCAAAAGCAATCTACAGATTCAATGCAATCCCCACTAAAATCCCAACTCAATTCTTCACAGAGTTAGAAAAGAAAATTCTCAAATTCATATGGAATAACAAAAAAAACCCAGGATAGCGAAAACTATTCTCAACAATAAAAGAACTTCTGGAGCAATCACCATCCCTGACCTCAAGCTGTACTACAGAGCAATAGTGATAAAAGCTGCATGGTATTGGTACAGAGACAGGCAGGAAGATCAATGGAATAGAATTGAAGACCCAGAAATGAACCCACACACCTATGGTCACTTGATCTTTGACAAAGGAGCTAAAACTGTCCAGTGGAAAAAGGACAGCATTTTCAACAAATGGTGCTGGTTCAACTGGAGGTCAGCATGTAGAAGAATGAAAATTGATCCATTCTTATCTCCTTGTACAAAGATCAAGTCTAAGTGGATAAAGGACCTCCCAATAAAACCAGATACACTGAAACTAATAGAAGAGAAGGTGGGGAAGAACCTTGAATACTTGGGCACAGGGGAAAAGTTCCTGAACAGAACACCAATGGCTCATGCTCTAAGATCAAGAATTGACAAATGGGACTTTATAAAATTGCAAAGTTTCTGTAAGGCAAAGGACACTGTCAATAGAAAAAAATGGCAACCAACAAATTGGGAAAAGATCTTTACCAATCCTACATCTGATAGAGGGCTAATAGCCAATATATACAAAGAACTCAAGAAATTAGACTCCAGACAACCAAATAACCATATTAAAAAATGGGGTATAGAGCTTAACAAAGAATTTTCAACTGAGGAAACTCGAATGGCCGAGAAGCACCTAAAGAAATGTTCAGCATCCTTAGTCATCAGGGAAATGCAAATCAAAACAACCCTGAGATTCCATCTCACACCAGTCAGAATGGCTAAGATTAAAAACTCAGGTGATAGTAGATGCTGGTGAGGGTGTGGAGAAAGAGGAACACTCCTCCATTGTTGGTGGGACTGCAAGATGGTGCAACCACTTTGGAAATCAGTCTGGTGGTTCCTCAGAAAATTGGACATAGCATTACCTGAGGATCCAGCTATACCACTCCTGGGCATATACCCAGAAGATGCTCTAACATATAACAAGGACATATGCTCCACTATGTTCATAGCAGCCTTATTTATAATAGCCAGAAGCTGGAAAGAACCCAGATGTCCTTCAGCTGAGGAATGGATTCAAAAAATGTGGTACATTTACACAATGGAGTATTACTCAGCTATTAAAAACAATGAATTAGAGAAATTCTTAGGTAAATAGATGGAACTAGAAAATATCATCCTGAGTGAGGTAAGCCAATCACAAAAGAACACACATGGTATTCACTCACTGATTATTGGATATTAGCCCAGAACCTTGAAATGCCCAAGATGCAACTCACAGGCCACATGAAGCTCATGAAGAAGGAAGATCAAGTGTGGGTGCTTTGGTCCTTCTTAGAAGGAGTAACAAAATACTCAAGGGAGCAAATATGGAGATAAAATGAGGGACAGAAACTGAAGGAGGGGCCATCTGGAGACCATTTTACCTGGGTATCCATCCCATGTGCAGTCATCAAAGGTAGATGCTGATGTGGAAGTCAGGAAATGCATGGTGACAAGTGCCTGATATAGATGTCTCCTTAGAGGTCTGTAAGAGTCTGAAATATTCAGAGGCAGATGCTCACAGCTAACCATTGAACTGATCATGGGGTTCCCAATGGAAGAGTTAGAGAGAAAATTGTAGGAGCTGAAAGGGTTTGCGGCCCCATGAGGAGAGCAACAATACCAACCAACCAGAGCTCCCAGGGTCTAAACCACCAACCTGGGAGCACTTAGGGAGGGATCCATGGCTCCAGCTGTATATGTAAGGGAGGATGGCCCTGTTGGGCATAGGTGAGAGAAGAGATCCTTGGTCTCGTGAAGGTTGGACACCCCAGTGGGTGGGAATTTGAGGGTGGGGAGGTGGGAGTGAGGGGTAGGTAGGGGTACATCCACAGAGAAGCAGGAGGAGGGGTGATGGGATAGGGGGTTCCTGGGCAGGGAGGGGGAATGGGGTACAGGGATAACATATGAAATGTAAATAAAGCATCCAATAAAAAAAAGTATAAAAAAAAACGAAAAAAGTCTTAAAACATATGAGGTAGAGGGAAATTAAGGAGACTTTTTGATATTTGGGCAGTAAACAAAATCCCAAGGCATAAATCAAAAGGGAAAAATGAATGAATGCAACTCTGGTAAAATGAAGAATTACTAGGTTATGAAGACCACCAGAGACAAAATAAAGGGCAATAGATAAAATACAAGCAACATAATTCACATGCAGAACACATAAGAAAATCTCAATTATTAGTAGGAAAATCACAGAGCAGTCCAAAAGAAGAATAAGATAGAACTTAACACCCTATTTGTAGAAGGAGAATCTCAAATGGTTCACAAGTTTGCAGCGGTATTCAATTGATTTGATAAGGAAAGTACATGGAATTTAAAACTAGTCGGGTACATACTTCAGGGCAGCTAGTTAGAAAGAGTGACAGTGCCAAGTACTGTTGGCCGTTAACAAGATAGGACCCCATTCGTCCTGTAAGAGGCAGCAGCTGTGTGTAGCAATGGTGAACTTGCAGTGTGCCACTAGCCTGTACCCTAGGAGTCCCATTCCAGGGGTGGAACCTCAGAAAAACTCTCCTTCTGTATCAGTGAAGCTTCCTGGGATGGACAGCAACCATGCTGTCTAAGGGGAGGAGAGAGGAAGGAGAAGGATGAAGGAGCAGCGGGGATGGACAGAGTAGGCAGAAAGTCAGGGGATGTAAGGGGCTCTGCGTCTGTGGTGTTCAGTGGTAGGGTAGGGATATGAGTGTACTCCACATCAAGTGACAAGTGCCACTGTGTTTGTATTGGTTGGGGTTGCTCTGATATGACAGCATTGTTCTTCCTTACCAGACAATGGCCTTGGGAGAAGCCAATGGACACACCCTAGGAGCCTCCAGTCACCATGCACACAAGTTCTAAACTGGAGACTTACTGTGCAAACGACAGCTTGATCCGAGACTGGATTTCTATCCACTCTTCCTTTATAATGTTCCCACATTGCAGCATCTCCTTGGAAAGTCTCTCTGCTTTTATCAAGTTCTCTGAGGCTTCTTTAAATCTGAAATAGGTTCAGGAAAAGTCCTGCCTGTTCTAGATTAAGGGACACCAGATCCTGGACTTTTATTTTTCTTTTCTCATATAATACTTCCTGTCATCTCTGAATCACTTAACAACCTTTTATTTGGTTTTGAGGATTGCCTATAAGAATCATAGCATCAGTGCTTTCTGTTTGTGATTAGAGGCAAAAGGATACTTTTGGAGGGACACCAGGGCTCTCCCCATGGTATAGAAAAGCTCTAGAGAACACTTGAAGATATCTGTTTTGTTGTGGTAGGGACTCTCGATGGAGTTGGCCAGGATTTCTTTGGCTCTTTCTGCATGTTGTTTTGCCTGTAGCGACAACCCTATGGACAGAGAACAGGAAGTGTCAGTTTCTCTTCAATTGCAGCTGGACAGGAACACGAGTCTCCATGGCTGGGAAACCTGGCAAGGTTAGCATATGCTGTCCAGTAACGCATGACGATAGATCTGGAAGTATGGAAGAACACCCTGACTAGAACAACCAGAGAATTTTATATCAAGTATTCAAGATGAAAAACATTTCCCAAAATGGCCTGTCTAGAAATAAAATAAGCAGAATGAGCTGGAACTGAACAGCTTTGAAATACCCCCAGTATCAGATGTAAAATATCGGTAATTATCAAAACACAAATGGAATGCAAGAACTATAGCATTCTGGGTAGGAAGTAAGATATTCAGGAACTGTAATCCTGGCTGAGTGACAGCCATCTCCAGGAAATACTAAAACTGCTGAGTCTTCTGCTCGCCTGTTTACAATTGTAACATTAAAGAGTTCTCTTAGCATAACGCAAACACAGTCTCTATAAATACTTACAGAAGCACAAACCCAGGAGGTAATGGACCACTATGGTATAAGCTCTTGTTCCTATACAGCAGCAGACTAACATCAGGCAGAGTAATGATTGTTATTACTGAGAATGGATTTCCCCATGTGTTCGGGTGTTCCTGTAGAGTTCGATTACCCTGTGGGAGTAGTGACTCTGAGGAACACCTCAGCTAGGGAGCCTAGGGTCTGCACCCTCCTCACCCCCCCCCAGACAACCCCCCAGACACCTCCTTCCACTCACATCCATACATCTCCAGCCCTACGTTCTGAATTACACACTTAATCGTGTCTCAGTTCTCTGCAAAAGCTGTCAAAATATGAAGTTAATTCCATACCTGTGTCTATAAAGCAGGAACAATATACTTTCTAATGGAGAGAAGCAAGCCTACGTTCTTTGTGTAAGAACTCCTTCAGGATTCTCTGTGTCTTACATTTTAAAGGCATAGCCTTAACTAGGCTGTCAGGAATTTATTAGTGTGAATTGTCTGTATGACCTAACTGGACTAGGTTTTCAGGTACAGCCCCTTCCCTTAGCACTCGGACTTGATCTACTGGAGACAGCACGGGTTCAGTTCCAAGAACATGGGCTCTGAGGTGAGACTGGGAGGCAGGAATCCTTTGCTCCATCACTAAGAAACTGGCCTCAGCTGTCTTGGCTGTGAAGAGGAACAAGAGTATCCTCCCTCACAGGTCGATGGGAAGTCTGAATAGGTTTTGCATGGCAGTTAGCATGGTGGCTGGCCCTCAGTCAGACCTCGCTCAATAATGAATGCTGCTTTGACTTTAAACTGAGAGAGGAAGAGCCACGTGGCAGGGAGGGAGCCAGGATTTTAAGTCCCAGATGGCAGGACCCTGGTACTGGCATGCAGTCCCTAGGTCTGAGCCTCACATCAGCTACTTACTAGCAATGTGATTTTTGCTGCAAGCTGTTTTGACTCAGATTCACTTTCTCTCTGAATCTAGAAAATTTAGAGGAGGTGTGGATGAGATATCTCTAATGCCCCGCCCCGCCCCGCCCCCCCCCCCTTTGCTCTGATGGCCTTTGACTAACAGATAGGAATAGCCTGGTCCTGTGATGCTTTCCGGTTGTAAGGTCACTCAATGGACCCTTGTGTGTGTGTGTGTGTGTGTGTGTGGCGGGGGGGGGGGCTTTATGTCACCGACATCCTAGCATGCTCTTTAGCTGACAACCTGAGTGTGGAGGGAGCTGTGATGTAGCTCGTGCGAGTCGGCACAGTCGGCACGTACAACGCACTGCATTCTGGGTATCGGCTTTGGATTTCTTTTTTAACCTTCCTGCATCCATCCTCACCTTCTGTTTTCCTTCTATGATGCTTTACCCCTGCACATCCTAAGCTGGCCGACACCAGCTCCTTTCCCAGTACACGAGAGGAATCAAAAGCCCTTACTTCGACACATACTCCAATGTGGTCTAAATGTTGTACCTTCGAATCCTGGGATTCTCTTGGTGGGTGGGATTTTTTTTTTTAAGCAAGTTTCACTTTAAGAAGTTGGAGGTTCAAGTTGTACAGCTTGGGTTAGTCTTCCAGTTTCTGGCCACATATACTCAACAGAGAATCAATCTCTCTCTCCCTCTCTCTCTCCCCCCCTCTCTCTGCCACCTCCCTCTCTTTCATTATTGGCTACTTACACTCAAGAGTGAGTCTTTCCCACCCTTCTCCCCTCTTAGGAAAACTCTGGGATCCATTCCCACTCTAAGCCTCCGTTCCATGTCTTGGCTTCTTTCCTGCCACCTTTTGATACATATAAACCTTTTTGATTCTTCCTTAAGGGCAATTGCTTCTTAGAGCCACGAAAACCTGATCCCTGTGGTATGAATAAGCTCTGGGACAGGGAGAACAGACACCCATCAGGTGAGCCCGGGGAAGCTCACCTTTCAGCTGCAGGTAACCCTGAGCCAGGTTAACATATGCCTCTGCTAGCTTCCAATGCGAGTCGCCATAGCAAATTCTCGTTAGTGCCACACAGCGCACAAGCTCCTGGATGGCCTGCTTGTACTGTCGGAAAAAAGAAAATGAGTTTACCAGGTAGACAGCTTCGACCTCAAGAGTCACAAGCCCTCCTTGTACATATATCGCCCAGTAAGTATTTACTGAGCACGTCCTATGTGCTGAGCACGTGGGAAGTGCCAGAGAATCAAACAATGGTCTGCTGGGGAGGCAGAGTGTTCGCCTGGTTGCGTGAAGTAAGCAACAACTCATTTAAGACGTACGTACACTTAGAATGGCGGAAGACGCAGTGGGATGAAGGAAAACTAGGCAGGTAGAACAGACCCTGATCACCCCTTAGGTTCTCCAGCTAACTTGCAGGGCCAGCTGCAGCCAAGCGGGAGAGCTAGCTCTCAGCTTGAAACTCCTTTGCAGCTATGATGATTAATACTGACAGGGTCTAGAATCACCTAGGAGGCACACCACTGGGTATGTCTTATTGAGGGTGTTTCCAGCGAGGTTTCATTTAGGTGTAAAGACTTCACTGTGAATGCGGGCATCTCCATCCCATGGGCTGGATACAAAGGATACAGCAAGCCTAATAATACCAGCGTTCGTCTCTTATTTCTCTTTTCTTCCTGACTGGATGCCACGTGATCTACTGCTCCATGCTCCTGTTGCCATGATGCTGTTCGCCCTCAGGTTGTGACACCCCCCTCCCCCAGCCCTCTTCCCTTTAGGTTGCTTTTGGCACAGAAATGAAAGGGTAACCGTCTCCTACGACATCGGCAAAGAGGTCAGTAAGCCTGACAGGCGGGAAGCCAGAGGACAGAGTCTTTGTTTTGTTTCCTCTCTGGAGGCTGGGGCTCTGGTCTCAAGTCAGCCTTTGACCTGGCTCTGTAGCCCAGGCTAGCCCTAAGTAGTAAGGAGCACATTTGTAATCAGGGTCAGGACAAAGAGAGAGCCATGTTTTTTTCCCAGCAAGGTAAGAGAAGATGCCTTCAAGCAAAGCTCTAACATTTGTTTCACACATTCTGAAAGAGATGAGGTCTACATTTCCTTCTCTTTAAACCCAGGTTTCCTGACTGCCTGGCCAGCCAATCATGAAGGAAATGAGGCACTGCCAGATTTCAGGCCCGTAGCCTCAGATATTAGTAGTTTCCACTTTGGTCCTTCCTGGTGTCACTCTTAGAACCTGAAGGTTTTGGGTTTTTTTGTTTGTTTGTTTGTTTTTTTCCAAGACACCGTTTCTCTGTATAGCCCAGGCTGTCCTGAAACTCACTCTGTAGACCAGGCTGGCCTGGAACTGACAGAGACCCACCTGCTTCTGCCCCCCAAGTGCCGGCTTTAAAGGTGTGTGCCACCACTCTTGGCTTCCCTCCCAGGTCTTATGTTGAAGTCCTAACTTTCTGCATACCAGAGTGAAGCTGTATTTGGAGACAAGGACTTTCAGGGGGACTAAGTTAAAATGAGGTCCTTGGGGTTTGGGAGATGGCTCAGTGGTTGAGAGTGCTTCCTGCTCTTACGCAGGACCTGAGTATGTGGCTCACAGACCACTCAGGGTGAGTGGCTCACAACCTCCAGTAACTTAAGCTCTGGGAAATCCATTGCCTTCTTCTGTTCTCCAGAGATGTGTGTGTGTAGGCACGCACAAATAATAAAAAATAAAATGACTATTAAGATAAAGTGAGGGCTCTAGGACAAGCTCTAGTCCAATATGACTTACAGAAGAGGAAGAGACCCAGGCCTCCATGTGCACCACAGCCATGTGAAGACACAAAGAGCACAGTCATCAGCAAGCGGAGGAGAGAGGCCCCAGAGTAAAACCAGTCTTAGGCTTCTACCTTCCAGAACTGCAGGGAAACGACCTGCTGCTTAAGTCCCTCGCCCCTCAACATGTGGCATTTAGTTACGACAGTCCCAGGACACCAACAGAGGACCAAGCACTAGGTCGTAAGCGAACCTAAGTAGCTCCATGCGGAGACCACTAGGAAAGGTTGGTTACCAGCATTGCTGATGGTCAATGCTAACTGTTGACCTGAGGAAAGATTAGAATCACCCAGGAGTCTGGCCTGCGGTCATGTCTTTGAGCCATTATCTTGCTGGTGCTGAGATGTGAAGACTTGCCTACGGGAAATGCAATACAGACTCAAGGGAAGACATAGTCTACAGCACAGCTGGAACATATGATTCAAATATCGAGAGCAGGAAAGGCAGAGACGGCTAGGAACCCGTAGCAGATTATGGAGACTGAAAAGAATCTGCAGCCGGACTCAGTGTCCGTTCCCATCTATCCATGGATCTGCTCTTTGTTTTGTTTTGTCTTTTTAGCAAATTATGTGACGGCATTATACAATATTAGTTTCCTAATTTCAATCACTGTGCTGTGGTTATATAGGAGAATATTCTTATTTCTAAGGAGGAGAAATTATTATATTTTATATGTAATACATAGATTGTATAATACATAACATTTTACATATTATAAACAGTATCTCTAACTTGTTCTCAGATAGCTGGAAGAGCAATGCTAGTGAGCAGGAGGCAGAACGCCAACAAAAGTTCTCAGTGAACACACTGGGCTGTGGCTCCGTGGCACCATAAGCATGCGAATAAACTAATAAAACCAATACTGATGACTGACGGGCCGCAATTTTCCTTTAAGTCCTACTTATTTTCAAATAAAAAGTGACATTGAAATGGGTATTTTCCAAATCAAGTTATTCCAGGTGGACCCCAGTGAAATGTTAAGGTCTTGCAGGGCGCTCAGCTTGTAAGCTGCAAGGTCTTCACTCACCTCCGCCTCTCTACCCGTGTGTCATCTCGGCCCATGGTGTCCTCTCTTTAGTACAGGCATGCCACATTCAAGCCTCAGCTGAAGATTTCCCATGAGCTGCTTCTTTCCTTCCTTAGTCCTCAGCTCACTGGTCCCACATCCTCCTGTAGCCCACCTGACCCTAGATGAACCTACTCTACTCCCCTCTTAACACGCCCAACAATCGACAGTCTGAGTCCAACCAGTGACCCCTCAGCTCCATCCTGTTCACTGTCATATCTTAGGCATCCTTACCAAAACCTCAGAACCAAGAAATGGCTTGTACCATTCCAGACACAGGAGGGCAGTTCATCCTCTGCAGATGCTAAAGGCCTTTGTGCGTGAAGTACTCCTAAGTGCTGTTTCTCAAGCCTTTTCATTACCTCCCATCCCAGGGGCTCATCCCTGCTGCCCACCCTTCCTCTTCTCATTTGCACGGATACTGAATGAACCTGCTACGGAACTTATCACAGCGACTGCCACTATTCTGCTGCCTTGTCATCTCAATCTAACCGTACATCCCTATAAGATGGAGGCTGTGGTCTTTCCTGTGTGACTCTGGCATAGGAAAACCTTAGGCATACAGCAGCTGTTTGTAGAATAAACTAAACAACCAACAGGCCCTGGCACATAAGGATGACTTTGTAGGGGGGATGGGAAAGAAGATGAAGAGAGCAGAACAGGCAGGAGCCTCAGAACGAAGAGCTGCACATAAGCAAACGTCGTGTCTGAGTGTGTGTGTGTGTGTGTGTGTGTGTGTGTGTGTGTGTGTGTGCGCACGTGCTGCAATCCACTGCAGGTCTGACATGTGCTGACACTCACTACACTCTTTCACTTTTTGTTACTGTGACCCAAATGCCAGACAGAAACAACTTAAAGGAGGCGCTTGCTGTAGCTCAGGGTTTTCTGAGGGCTCAGTCCATCATGATGAGAAGAGAGTAGCGGAGCAGGGCAGCTCCAGCACAGCACTCAGGAAGCAAAGGGAAAAGCTGGCCTTCAGCAAGGTTTGTCCCTTCTCCTCTTTGATTTCAGCAGGGCCTAAGTGCATGGGGGTGTACTACGGGTGCCCAGTCAGCAAGGTCTTTTAACCTTTCGTTAGTCCTGTCTGGAAACACCTTCACAGACATACTCAGGTATTGACTTCCCGCCCCCAGTCCCCACCTCCTAATGATCCTGAATCCAGTCATGGTGACATTCTTTGTCTACTATCATACTAACTATCATACTCAATAAACACTTGCCGTTGGCATGTCAACAACTGTGCCTACAGTAGGAAGGCCTACATTCCTGACAGAAGGCAGACAGGTTCTCTCTTAAGGACTCTCGAAGCTGAGGTAGTCTCATCTCTCCTGCTTCTCTTGCTTGGGATGATAGCTCAGTTCTCAAGAGAGTGGGCATGTGATCTCTAGGCTCCTTATCTCACCTCACGGCTGCTGTGTGACCCCGGGCTCCTTACCTCACGGCTGCTGGAGTAGGACTTTGCTCTCTCTTCGCACAGGTGGAGTTTCTCTCGAGGGGGCTGGAACAGTGCTGTCTGAAGCAGCTTATTCGGGATCCTGTTTTTCGAAGTGACGCTGACTGCAGCAATGACTTCGTCTAGGTGGCTGGACATGTGGGTCTCCTGGGACTCTTGCATATTCTCATACACATTGTCCTCTAATTGTCAGATGACAAACAAACGTCTGTGAGGACCATTTTCAGAGTCAACTTTTAAAAATCACATTTTTTTTTCCCTCCAGATGTCTAGGTAACATCTAGGACAAGGCCAACATTATGCCTATGACTCCTTTAAGGTTAAAAACATTTTGTCTCAAAGGGGCATGGGCTGGTGCTGACTTCTTTTGAAAGCTTCAGGCTTATCGCCAGCGCTAGCTAAACCAAGCACATATATCCCAACAGAAATTACATGAGCCCACACAGCTCACAGTGAGCTGTGTCGACACAAACTCATACTGAATCAGTTATGAACTCCAGCTGACCTAGAGGCAGAAAGCAGATGATTATTGTTAATCTTTCAGTCTGGATAAAATACAGCAATTTATCCTACTGCCGGAAATAATAACAGCAGCAATAACAACAACAACAAAAACTCCAGAGAGACAAAAAAGAACAAAAAAGAAGAAAGAAGTTACAAAAAAAAAAAAAGGTTTAAAAGAAGGATCCCAGCAATAAGACCCTGATTCCTGAGAGATGGAAAAAGTAAGTAAGCCAAGACCCCACCTGCCTGTTTATTGCTTTGAGTGTGTCCAGGTCAAAGCGCAGGAAAGAAGGAACCCAGGAGGTCCTGGTGGACGCTGCACTGGGAGAGAACTGAGAGCCTGGGAGAGCAACTGCGCCTAGAATTTGCAGGACAGTTTGCTGAGGAGAATGCTATACAGGGAGAGTGCCTGAGATCAGCACCAGGGTCCCCTCAGATATGGGGAGAGATGATAATCAGCCTGCAAGAAAGATCCTTCTGTAGCTTTAGGATGCGCCTACCACACATCTGCTATTGTCCCCTGAAATTAAACAAGATAATGAGGCATTGGGCAAAGTACTCAGAAAGGTGGGTTTTTCCTCAGTAATAGAGAACAACTAATCCTAGACTAAACTATGCTCGTTATACCAGAGTTTGCCAAATAACTACACCTGACAAATAATAAGAGATTCAGGAAATAAAGGCACATTTAGTTGGATGAAAAGATCCAACTAAAAAAATGGATGCCAAATTCATGTAGATGTTGAATTAACAGAAAAAGACATCAAAAACAGTTAGTATAGTTGCATCCCATGAAATTTTTCAAAAGGCTCAAATGGAACTTGGAGGTATGCAATATGTGAGAGGAAAATATTCTACATAGGATTCTACATGGGTAAGCGATGAGGCAGTGTAGGATGGAGGTGTGGACTCGCAGACATGGCATCAGAAACTACTGGAAAGGAAGTGACCAAGCTGTGAGGCAAAAGCCACTTGCTCTGCCTGTATGTAATTTAGGTCTCCAAAGGCAAGTGCTCATTATGGAAAACAGGAGCCCAGGAAGGTGAACTCTAGCAGGTAGAAAAGACCATGGAGGCCCTGAGGCTAGTCAGACTTCAGAAACGAGAACCATTGCTGCAGGGGATTCAGCTAGCTTGTAAAGAGTTTTGAGAGCAAGATCAGAGAAGAGAAAGCGCCCAAGTAAAGTGACTGAATAATCAACATTTTTGGGAGTGAAACGCGAGATGAACACACGGCCAGCTGCTGGCAGGTGGATGTGTGGTGTGAGGTGAACACAAACCGGATCCTGAGGAGTGGTCATGCGTCAAAGCTGCAGATGTTGATGTGCCTTCCACCCAGGATGGCTATCGACAGATCTGAAGAAAAGTGTTGGCCAACAGAAAGAAATACTGGTTCCACAAATGGAGGATGCATTCAAATAAATGGGTAGACAGGAATGCGCCTTTGACTTAGGTCCTTTCTAAGCCTTGGTTGGGGTGTAGCACTCATGACTTTCCCATGATTTTGACCATGAGAGCCCCCACTTCCAGAGCATAAATCTAAGGAATGAGTACTTTGTAAACACTGCCTGCGGTGTCCCTGTGCCTCACCCTTACCCCATGTTTTATAGGAGCAATGTAGGACGCTTAGTTTCAGGCTGAAAAGGCACAGATTTCAAGCTAAAAGTGTAACTGATCTTTATTAGGCAGAACTAGTGAGCCATACAAAGTTTCTGGCAGGGAAGCCTGAGGAAGATATCCCCCAGGGTATTAATCTCTAATTAGCAGACAACATAACCAAGCACCAAGCTCTAAGAGGCAGAGTGGCCACTGACTTACAAGCTTCAGACATCCTGGTGCCATCCTGATAACTTTGGCATATCAGTATTCGGTCCGTATTCACATTGGTTAACTTTTTCTTTAAATCTATGTGCTTTAAAAAGCCAAACACCTGTGGCTGGAGAGATGGCTCAGAGGTTAAGAACACTGGTTTTTCTTCCAAAGGTTTTGAGTTCAATTCCCGGCAACCACATGGTGACTCATAACCATCTATCAGATCTGGTGCCCCCTTCTGGCCTGCAAGCATACATACAGGCAGAATGCTGTATACAAAATAAATAAATAAATAAATAAATAAATAAATAAATAAATAAATCCAAAATACCTACTTCAGATCCATTCTCACAAATAGCAAACGGTATTGTAGTTTCAGTGTGCTAGCTGAATTTTCACATTCAAAATACCAATAATAACATTTTAGAAGGGTGCTAATGTCCCATCTAAGAACACAAGTGTAATTACTGCATGCATCTGGAAATTCTAAATTCCAAATTGGACCTGATTTTCTGTAGTTTATATTCAGAGTGGCATTTCCTATAAAAGTTGATTTATAAGGGATAAGAATATAGATATAAAGTGCTTAGCCTGGCAAATATGAGGGCCTTAGTTTGATTCCCAGAAATCATGAAAAAAAAATTAGATTTGACGCCGTGAGTTTGTAATCCCACTGTGTGGGAGGCAGGGACAGGTGGATCTCTGGGACTCAGTGTCAACTAGCCTATCCAAAACATCAACTATCAAATTCCAGTGAGAAACGTCATCTCACAAATATCAGTGTGGATGGCTCCTGACGAAAGACACCAAGATATCTGACCTCCATACACGTGCACTCTCATGCACAAACAGATAATAAAAATAAAATAAATTTATAATGCTGGTAATACATTTTAAAACTTCTCCCAAGAAAGTTTCATATGTCTTCAGCAAATGTGTATGATCCAACAATCACTTCCTTATCTGAGGCTAAAAAACATTACTGAATATATTAATGTGGTAATACAGATTACCACGCACACACACACACACACGCGTGCATTACTGAATGGAATTCTTCTTGAGCCTTGAGAGCTGCTTAGATATATAACATGTGGAAGATAGTAAGGACAGACCCCCAACATTTTCATTCTGGGACTCTATGGTCGGCATTTGATCGATCTGAGCCAAATCCTGTGGCTGGTTTATAAATAAAGTTTTATTGGAAAGTGGACATGTTCATGATGTCTATGGCTGCTTTTGTACTACAACAGAGTCTAGTTTATTTATTATTTCACCCTTCCCAGAAAAACACAGTGAGGCCACGAATAGAAGCAGTGGATAGGAGAGGTCAGTATAATAAGACGGTCAACTTACATTCAGTTCAACTGAATTTGAGATGGAGAACGAAATGTATATTAAAATGTTAGAAATAGATCACTCCTGAGTGATTTTATTTTCTGGTATCAGGGATGGAACCTTCCTTTTACTAAGGGTATACTGCTGTCACACCTACTTCTGAACTCAAGACTGGCCAGAGGGCAACTGAAACAGGCTAGAGAAAGTACATTGATTCCTTGATATTCTAAAACCAAGATCAGGGGCTAGAGAGACAGCTTACTGTACAGTCAATGCTCTTAAACACCTCTTGCTTCTGCTCCAGGGGATCTCACGCCCTCTTCTGGTCTCAGAAGGCATCTGCCCTCATGAGCACAATATCTTCTAAGAAGAAGGGAGCATTTCTTTCCTTTGGCAGCAATATGGAATGGAACTGTCAAGCAGGGATGGAGAAAGTGCCCAAGGTCCTCCTGTGAGAAAGCCGCAGAGGTTGTGCAGTTCCGCTGACTTTCTCATTCCTGGGCAGCCCCTGAAGACATCCTATCCAAACTGTGCCTAAGCTCTTCTATACCAGCTCAGTACAATTTTGTATCCCAAGTTGTTGGCTACCATTTAAAAAGCACCTTCTTGCCTTACCCTCCCTCATCCGTCCAACCCCTGTTGGCTAATGAGATGGTTGCTAATAGGTGTTATGGTCTAAAGGAACAGCACTGGGAGGCTGGGACTCAAGAACTTGCACTGCCCCATCCGCCTACAAGATTTGGGCAACACTGACAGGAAAGCTTCATGTTTTTCATCTTTGTCATACATGGCTCTTATAACTACTTTGTGTCAGTGGGCAGATAATCCTATTCCTATTTTGTTATTGTTACTCCTATTTTATTAAGGGAAAAAATGAAACTAGAGAAGCTAATACTTGAATAATACCACAGGGCTAGAACCAGGACTCCAAACTTGTAACAATTTGTTAAAATTCTGTATCCTATTGGCTTGCTCCGACCACAGTCTAGGGCTGTGGGAAGCAAACGCTGTTGCTTTGAAAACCACAGCAGGCGTCTTAGGAGAGCATCATTTTTTGTAAGAAAGGCAACATCTTCAACAGGTTGAAACTCATTTTCTCACTTTGCATTAGAAGGGAGGCAGAAAAGGAATGTTTGAAATGATTTAAATAACATGTCACAAATATTTGTTATTTTGGACCCATGAGTCTAAGGTTAAACTTTGAAATAGGTTTCTCTTTTTTGTTTTTATGATTAAAATGGTCTGTTTCATGCTGCCTCGTAGCCTGTCTTTGGCTGCTTTGTGGTTTCTTTGGTCCTTCCACCTTCCTCCTGCTTCCAACCCACTAACACTATACAGGAGAGAAGAAAGGATAGAGGGGAAAGGGGGTGACATTACCATTAGAGTATTTCCTGCTGATTAGGGGTATCGAGTTCCTTGGGGCAAGTTTGATCTTCACAGACAGGATAACTAATTTCTTATTTCTTCTTTGTGCATGACTACCTAACCAACAGGACCAAGCAACACCCCACCTCTTAGGGCCCAAGCAA